GACGTGCGGGGAGCAGCGGGTGCTGCGGCGCCCAGCGCCGGTGCTGATGATCGGTGGTGCGAGCTGGGCACCCAAACGCCCTGTGACCTGCCCTCCAGACGGGTGTGATGCTCCCTCTCGGTGTTGCATGGGCACTGCATTGCTCCTAAAAACCTGTTTCAGGGTCTTGTGAGAGGAGGAGTTGTAATTAAAGATGTGAACAACCCCTCAGCCACCCTTTTTCCTTAGGACAACAACTCCAGGGTTGGTAGTTTGTGCCATGCTTTAGGCTTTACATTCAACACTGCTGCTGACTTACTTATGCGTGGGTCCCTGCGTGCACAGCGGTGCTGGGAGGTGGGTGGTGCAGGCTGGTTCCACCCTTCAGAATACGCCGTGCCACTCTTTGAACTGCTTATCTGCTTCAGCATGCAGCCTTCCACGGTGGGGTCTGGCTAAGGAAACACCATTCCCCCACCTGCCTCCAGTCAGAAGGACATCTGTCCAGTCGCTCCAGATGTCTATCTATCTGTCTATCCATCTCTATCCATCTAGATATCTATCCATATCTGTCTATCTAGGTGTTGGTTTAGCCACCTATCCCCATTTATCCATATCTATCCGTATCTATCCGTCTAGATATCCATCTGTTCCAATCTATCCCCATCTATCCATATCTATCCCTCTAGATATCCCTCTATCCACATCTATCCACCTAGGTATCCATCTATACCCATCTATCCTTGTCTATCCCTCTAGAGATCCATCTATCCCCATCTATCCAGGTCTATCCATATCTATCCATCTAGATACCCATCCGTCCCCATCTATCCATGTCTATCCATCTAGGTATCCATCTATCCATATCTATCCATCTAGACAAGCACCTGTCCCCACCTATCCATATCTATCTATCTATCTAGGGATAACTCCGTATCTCTGAGATATGGAGCTATCTCAGAGGCGCTGCATCATCTGGTCGCTGCGGGAGCGGCCGCCTCGGTCTGCTGGCAAAGGCTGCCGGCCGAATGGGTTTCCAGCCCAGCGTGGCTGCAAGCAGCTTTCTGGAGTGAAATCCGGCCGGGTTTGATGATGGAGCTGGACCCCCGCTCTCCCTGTGGTGGGAATGGTTGGTATCGCCCAGTCCATCACTGGGCAAGCTGGGGCCTGCCCTGTGCGTTAATGAATAGTCATGAGGGACCGAAAGGGGTGGGCCCCGTTTTGTTGTTGGATGCAGCTCGTTGACAGAACTAAGGGAGATGAAAAAAGCAAAAAAGCCAACACACGGCGGCACACGGGTGGCCAGCGCAGCATCCCTGCCGCTGCTCGCCCCGGCCCTGCTCCCGCGCTGCCCCGTCCCGCCTGCCCTCCTGCCCCGGCCGTCCCTGCCCCGACCCCATGACTCCCGCGGCAGGACGCTTCCCAGCGCTCTGTGAATCCCGAGACGACTAAAATGCTGTACATTAGCGACCCGATGCAGCATTATACCACGGTAGGTGCTACTTGTTATTTACGGGTTCTACCTTGATCCTTGTTATTTGGACTCACCCTCCGCCACCGAGGCAGGATTTGGGTGACGGGCTCTGGCTCTGCCTGCTGAGCCTCCGTGCCGGGGACCCGCCAGGGGCTCGCTATGGCATGAGCCGTCCTCCGTCCCGCGGCTGCACGCAGGAGCTGCGGCGGCACCTGTGTCAGCGTGGGATGCTGCAGCCTGGGCGCCTCGGTCGGCGTTCCGCTCTGGCTTTGCCTGATCCGGCGCTCGCACAGCCCAAGGTGCGATTTAAACCTTTGGTGCAAAGGGCCCGGGCCCCCTCACCCGCGTACGTGCGGACGGGATGGGTGTTCGCTGCAGCATCCATCCCAGGAACGCCCGGTGGTGCCCAGCACCACCAGCACCACTTTGTCTTCCACCAGGGACCTCCCCGGCCGAGCTCACGGCGTGCACCCGCAGCCCGGGGCAGGATTCCCTTCCTGGGCTTGACATCTCCGGGAGGGTAGAGCAGATGAAACGGTACCTGCGCTTGCGGTTTTGCATTTTCATCCCCATCCTGAAGCGCTGCGGTTGCTTTCTTAGTCGAAAGGATTTTGTGTCTACTCTCTGGCATTCAGGAAAGGGAGATACGGGCATAGATGCTGCTGGAGACAGAAAGGTGCGGTGCTGCACTTCCCCACCAGAAACTGCTTCACTCCTCTTTTTTCTCTTGTGTGTGTTGGTACAAAGCACATACGTACCGGGTTCGTTTTGTTCTGTAGTGCTGTTACTTGGGAGGTCATTGCTGCAGTCATGTGAATATTTATATACGTGTGGGGATAAACATCTGTGTGTATATGTATATATTTACAGATTTACAAACACAAGGGCTGCCTTGGGTTTGTTGACACACACACACACACACACACAAACACTCATGCATTCGGTTTGTCTTTTAAGGGAATGTTTCCAAAATTTAGTCAATTTTTCAAACCAAGCTGTCATTTTTCCGCCTGCACCTGACTTTGGCTGTCTCAGCCAGCCCGCTTCCCAAACCCCGGCACGCGGGGCACCGCCTGTGGCTTTGTCCCGGCTCGGGGCGGCCAGCCCGGCTCGCAGAGCTGATGCTCTGGGTCTCTCTCGTGTCTCCTTCCTGTGCGAAGACGTCACCGGTTTCCCCGAGAGAAGGCTCTCTCCCGTGCCGGGGTCGGGATGCTCTTCTCAGCGGGTGGGTCCGGATTTATCTCCCCGTTAAGCTTCACAGCCACCGCTGCAGCTGCTCACGGGGGTGGCGCTGAGCGCCGCGAACTCACACAGCCGTGCGGGGGTGGCTTTTGGGGAGTTTTTTTCTGGCTACTTCCAAAGGCCACCGGACCCCTAGCCCACCCTGCGGCTCGGGGCTCCTGAGCAGCAGATATTGTCGGGAGGCAAAAGACTTCCCGGTTATTCCCCATTTCATCAGGAGATGAGCAACCACGGGCTCTGCCGGGCAGGCCAGGCGTACAGAGCCTGCTTTTCCCGAGCACGCACGTACGTGGGCAAGGGTAGCGCTGAAATCTGTTTGCCCGTCAAGCGCAGAGCATTTCCTCCCCATTCATTGCTAAAAGAGGCGGGTGGCTGAGCCTGGGGCGCGCGCGCAGCCTCTTCCCCGGGGCCCTTCCCGTGTCCCGGGAGAAGAGAACAGCACAGCCGTGATGCTCCCGGGTCGTTTGGGCTGTGGATCAGCCCCGACAAGCCACAATCCCTTTTTCCCTTTGCTCCTGCCCCGGCCCCGCTGTCCCCAGCGGCACCCGGGCAGGTTCCCAGCTGGGTGGCAGGCGCTTCCCACCCCGCAATTGTAATGCCCGTTTTGATGAAGTTTCTTGTAACTTTTTCTCCAGGTGAAGCCCGGGATGGTGGAAAGCTTGGATGGGGCGGCTTGTCTTTGGGCAGGGCTATTTATGGAGCGGCGGGAAGGAATAGAGGGGTTTCCGCACATATTTTAGGGGAGAAAACGGCTGTATGCGTAAAAGCAAGCCAGATCTTGTTCAGCATTCCTCCAGTTAGTCACAGGCTCCAACGACCTTGCGAGAGATGCAGGCAACAGGAGAACTTCCCTGGAGAAGGCTGATTGCCTTTGAACCATTATACATCGTAGACGTTTGGGTGAGGTTGGGATCCCAAGTTAAAACACGTCTCCTGATTCCTAAGCCGTGAGCCTTGCAGCGCTGCCGAGGGGAAGGCGGATGGCTGGCCGTCCCCATGGCTGCCTCCCAGTAGCTCCCAGTTTCCCAGAGCTGCCCCAGCTGGTGCTGGTGGCGGGAGGGACAGTCCCCGCCGGGGTGCGGGGGCTGGAGCTGGGTGAAGGGGGGAGCGCAGGCGGGCGGCCCCGTTCCTCCGCCGAGGCAGGGTGCTGCGGGCAGGAGGGGTGACAAGCGGCAATGGGAGGGCCAGCGTGCTGCTGGCTGGGGAATGCCGGGAGGGCAACCCTCGAGCAATTCGGGAATTGCCGATTTCTGGGGAAAGAAAACATCCCATGTGCTTTGAGAAACAGCTACGTTTGGGATGTTTTGGGTTTTTTTTTATTGAAGTTTATTTCTCTACAGTAGAAAACAGTGATTTTTTGGGGCTGATTTTCAGCTGAAAGATTAAGGCTGCTTTAGCCATGCGGCTTTTGAGAAAGTAGCCTTGCTTAGGCTGCGCCTGCAGAGAAAAGAGCTGCCGGCTTTTACTGGAAGTATCTGACAGTAATTGTTCAGAAGAGAAATAAGAAAAAAAAAAATATTGTAAAAAGTCGGGATTTGTTCCCAAAAGTCTGGAATAAGAGCCAGCACCTGCATAAATAGGTAGGTTTGCTCTGTGACCTTGCTGCAGTTGCTGCATCACAGCTACGCGCTTTGTAGGTTTGAGGTTTTCCCCAAATTAGCCCTGCATCAGTGAAAGCCACTGAAAGCAAACATCCCAGCGAGGCAGTGAATTACGCAAACCACCATTCAGAGCGGGCTCCTCTATGAGAAACACTTCCAGAAGTGGTGTGCCTGTGTACATCCATGACAAGTGACCGAGGCAGCAGGTTGGACGCTCAGCGGTGCGGCCGCGCTGGGAGCGATGCCTTCGTCGGAGCGCTGGCGGTCGCCTGGCACCGGCGCCGAGTACCGGGCGGCTTCCCCAAACCGCGATGCTCTGCCCGCTGGAAAGGCCATTGTGGAGCAGAGCCCTGTGCGCAGGACGGGGCCGTGTCCCGTCCCCCCCTCCCCCAGGCCCCGCAGCGGCACGTCTCCCACACCTGAGCAAACCCCCAAAAATCCCTGACGGTCCCCCGCCGGCGCAAGAGCGGCTTCGCATAGCCCGGTGCGCGGGAAACCCGGGGATGTCGGCACCGCGCTGCCTCCGGTGAGGATGGGGCTGGAAGAAGGGGATGACTGAGGTGTTTGGGGTTTATCCCTTGCACAAGTGGTGACCTGTTCCAAAACCCCAGCGACCCAGAGCCGCTCTTTTGGCTGGCTTTCCCGCATGCGGGCCCTTTAAGGAGGCTGTAACAGGACACCTGGAGCCCTGGAGAAGTGTGGCTGAGGTTTCCATGTCTCTAAACTGGCTGGTGTTTTCTTTTTTCCCTCCTCCCCTTTTCCCTTCCTCCAGTCCCAGTTCAATTTGCTGAACAACAGCATGGATCAGAGCATCGGCAGCAGAGCAGCCTCCACCAGCCCCTACAGCTCCGAGCACACCTCCAATGTCCCAACGCATTCGCCCTACTCGCAGCCCAGCTCTACCTTCGACGCCATGTCCCCGGCTCCCGTCATCCCCTCCAACACCGACTACCCCGGTCCCCACCACTTTGAGGTGACCTTCCAGCAATCCAGCACCGCCAAATCGGCCACCTGGACAGTAAGTCGCATGTCTTCTTGCCTTCGCTAGAGCGATGCTTGCCGCCGCGGGCGGTGTTTTCGGCACGCACCCCAACACCGCGGTGGTGCTTTGCAGCGGGACGCAGAGGGCACGCTGGCGCGGGGGCTGCGGGACCCAGCCACCAGCCGATGGGGACTTCGCCTGCACAGGTGACCCCGGAAAACACAACGTGCAGGGGACATCAGTGCTGGCTTTTCAGGGATTTTCTCCAAAAGGGCTGTCAAGCACAGCAGTTTGAATGTAACTTCTCTCACAGCAATTCCCTAAACTGCGGGTGAATGTCCCTGAAAATCACAAAGCTGGAGAAATGTCTTGGGGAAGAACCTGCCTTGTTCCCGTGGTGCTTCCCTGCACGTTCCCCAGCGACCGCTGTCAGAGGCGAGGCAGCGGGCGAGATGGACCCTTGCTCGCATCTGCTGGGGCCGTTCTCGGCTTTGCTGTAAATTCTTGCTTGTCATTTACAATCCTTTTTCGTGTTGTATCAGAAGAGTAACAATACCTAGAAGTCACGGCAAAATAACAGAGTAGGCTTTTAATCGCAGAGGGGTGGCTGCGGGGCGTCGTGCCGCGGGGGATGCGGGCGCAGCAGCCTGGTCCTCGGGCGCGGAGATGCAGGGGGGATGCGCTGCCGGTCCAGCCACACGTCTGCAGCCCGGCAGAGGAGTCCTCTGCAGATCAGGGACCCTGGAACCGTGTGATGGCCGCTTTGCTCTAAGGGGCAAAATGTCCTAAATTCACATCCTGGCTCCCGGCTCAGTGTAGCACTTTCCCTGTTTTTAAGAAAAAACAGCACTTGTGGCCAGTGTCAGAGGCATTTCTGTGGCAGACGCCTCCCGGAGCACCCGGGAGAGTCAGCTCGAGGCAGGTGGGTTTTCTCCTCTGGGAAACGTTAGCGGAGCAGAAAGGGTGGGACGAGAGAACTGACACAACGGGGGAGCAACGGGGTTTCCTCCGGGGCGGCGGTTTGACATCAGCACGACAGAGGCAGAGCAGCCCGGGAGTGATATATCAGCCCGAGGTGTGATAATGACTTTTATTTTTGGAAGCTGATGTGTTTAATTGCCAAGACAGTCCTTCCGGCGGTAGACAGAAAGCGTCCTCGGATGCTTTTGTGCAGACAGAGCCGTGGCCGTGGCCGGTGGTGCTGCTCCCGGTGCGCGGTGGTGAGAGCGGGCAGGAGGGAACGGGCTAGGCCACCTGCCGCCGCACCGGCTCTGTCCCCTGCGAAAGCCAACGGGGGGGTGGAGAGGGGAAACCAGCAGCGAGCCGGCGGTGAGCTGGTGTTTGGATGCAGCCAAATTCATGGCTGGGGCCGCGCAGCAGCTTCCCTGTGTCCCGTCACCGGAGCTTCACAGCTTCACTGCTGAGCGGCGCTGAGCGGGGGCTCGGGACCAGCACCGCGGTTAAATACAACTTGCCCTGGTGGGAGCGGTTAAGTCTTCACCCTTTTTCTCTGTCTTCCCTTGCAAGATGTCGCTAAAGGATGCGTTTCACTGGGCTTTCAATAAACGGAAGGTGCACAGGGCAGGGCGGCACTCCAGCCCAACCCCATCCCTGCCGGGGGATAACTCGCATCGGTTAAAAGTAAAGCTGCACAGGATCTGCAGGGGGAAGGAGACATTCCCCTGCCACAAAAGCATCCGAATGGAAACCGAACTCGCAGCGGTGCAGAGTGTCTTTTCCCAGCTGTCCGGGGCGTATTCCGGCACCTCAAAAGACGGAGAGGGCACCGACTGTGGGTAGTCTCTGTGCTCGCTGTAATTAGCAGTAAGGAAACAGCCTTCCCTTGTCCCAGTTGGTGCATGCTGCAGCTGCAGGGAGTAAATCCGAAAAGCCACTAAGGTGTTTTTGACCGGTTAGCCCCAGAAGAGCGGAGGGAGCAGCAAGAGGCTCCCCGAGGCAGTCCCACATGGTGAGGGAGCCGTGACAGCCCCTTTCCCACACTGGGGCCACCCCAAACCCTAAACTGAGCCCGGACTCTCTCAGCATCACCCCGTGCTGACCGTGCTCCTGTAGCTGTCGTGTCCTACTGGGAGCTGTGCTAATCCGGCCGGGATTGCTTTCTTTCCTCAAGCCTTTGTCTTAAGGTCTCCTTTGTCCATCAGAGCAGCCAGTGCCAGAGGATGCTGTGAGAGCCCTCCCGGCCTCGGGGAGCGGTTGGGCTCGAGAGATGCCCGGCAAACATGCCGCGGGCACTGTAAGCACCTGCAGAGGATGCTCCTGGGGTGGGAGCTGAGGCTGCGGAGCGCACGGCTGCAGGGGGGGACCCTCCTGGGAGGTGGTGCGGGGCGGAGGAGTTAAACGCCTGAACCGGCTTTGATACTTGGCAGAGCAGTGGGTGAGATGTGCGGCCACCTGAACCGCGCTGCTGCGTGCCCCGAAGGCAGGGTGGCCGCGGGACTGGCGCCCACCAGCCCAGACGTCACTGCGCTTGACGCTGAGCCTCATGGAGAGCAGAAGTGGGTCGGCAGCGTCTTGCACCGTGGAGAGTGTGGGGGATGTCTCGTTCGGAACAGTGAGCGCCGAGGTGGGTGCAGACTGTCCAGCTCGCCGGGGTTGCCACACCAAGAGCTGTCCTGCTGCGGTGACAGCCAGAATTACTCCATCTCCTCCCGGCTGATGGCCGTCGCAGCCACACCGCTGCATTTCTTGTGCTGGAAGATGGGGCTGCTGCCTTTCTCCCGCTCGCCTTGAGCTCCTCATTGCCTCTGCCGCACTCCAAAGTCTGTCCTGGTTAAACATGGAAAGGAGTTCAGCAAAAAAAAACATATGTTGTATATTGCCAGTCAGTCAATGCACAAATGATGATGTCTGTGCGCAGTGTGATTCTCTACATAAACTGAGAATGAGTATGTAGCAGTGTACAAGTAAGATGAAGAAAGCTGTTGGGAAATGCAGGCCCTTGGGAAGGAACGCTGAACGTACGGCCAGCGGGGCTGGGGACAGGGACATCTGACAGCTCGGTGATGCTCCAGCCAAGGGGAGCGAGGTAACCATCGCCGGGCGCACGGTTTGATTCAGCACTTTGAAAGGAACAACAGTAAACCAGTGGTTTGCACTGCCTATTTCATCTGTAGCTAGGAGAACCTCGTGGCTTTGGGATACTTTAAGATTAACTGCACCAAATAATTTAGTCCAGGGCCGTTGGAGGCGTTGCGCACGAATTCGGCAGAGCACCTTGCCAGGCAGCGTTTCGGAGCAGCGGGAACCCCCCATCCCGCAGGAACGCTCTGCCAGAGCCGCCGCTCCGGAGGCCTCCTGCAATCTGGGGCTGGATCGCGGAGAACCCGGCCAAGGAGGAGCTGACAGCTGGCGCACGGGCAATGCCAAACCAAATAGTTCGATGCGAGTCGTCTTCCCAAACCATTCGGCATAGTTGTTTTGATACAGTCAGAAGCTGGGGTTGGTGGAAGTGTGTAGCCCAATAGGCTCCTGGTTTTGAAGGGTTTTGGCTGAATCCCTCTGGCTATTCCTCTGGGAGACGTGGTGTTACCCATTCTACCACGCTCAGGAAAGGAGGCTTCTCAGGAGCCCAGGGCTCCTGGCCAAAGACCGTGTGGCGGCGAGCTGTCTGCTGGGGGGACGGCGTGCTCCGCAGGGGCTGGGCAGGCGAGCATCACCCGGGCGGGGGGGCAAGGTGCCGCCGAGCCCACCGCCCTCCCGCACACACGCAGCTCTCCTGTCCACGCTTCAAACCCTCTGTTGACGAAACAGCGGAGGTTTGGGAGGGAGATCCAAAGAAGATGAAAGATTTGGAACAGATGCCTTGTGGGGCGATACCAGAGAAACCTTCTGCATGAAAGGTCTCCACGAGAAGAGTAAGGGTGGCTCGATCGCAGCCTGCAAAGGAGATGGGTTCTGATAGCAGACAGCTCTTTAATCTAATAGAAAAAGGCATAATGAGATCCAGCGCTTGGAAGCTGAAGCCAGGCAAATTCAGACTAGAAACAAGGTGGAAATTTTTTAACAGTGAGGATAATTAACCATAGGAACAATTTACCAAGGAATGCGGTGGATTCTCCAACTCCTGAAGTATTCAAATGAAGAGTCTGCATATCTGGCGGAAGATAAGCTGTACTTCAAGCAGACACCGTTGGCTCCACGCAGAACGAGCAGGCAGGGGGGCTTGGGCCAGCGGTGAAGGGAGTCAAACCAGAGGATCATCCTCTGTTCTCTCTAGCCTTCAAGTGCCACATTTCTAAATTTGGGAAATGGGTGAACAGAGAAGGGACGAAGACGTGGGGCAGGGGTTTGGGACTCGTGTTCCCAGCCCCGCGTCTGTCCCTGCAGAGGGATGCTGGGCAGCGGGTGGGTGCCGTTGGGTGTCCCGACTGCCGGCCTGGGCTCTGAGCACCACACGATGCCACAAACACCCAACCCAAGCGGCCGCGCTGCTCTGCGCCGCGGGACGCCCTCCGGGCTGCCACCACCTCCCTTTTCATTTTTAATGGCCTTCTTATCAGGGGAGAGCAATGGCCAGATGCTGAAAATAAGGTTTTCCCTGCAGGTTCGAAGCCCCCCTCTGGCAGGCTGCTTTGGCGGGGCGGGGAGGAGGACGGGGAGCTGCGGCGCTGCAAGACGGGGCACGCCGGCAGCCTGCCTGTTTGTTGGAAGCTATCAGGACTCTCGGTTCCCCGGCGCTGCCCGTACACGCTAGAGCCGCGAGCCGATCTCGGCTGTTTTCTCACCGGCAGCCCCTCGCCACGCCGGCCAGCTGGTAACTGATAGATAATTAGTATTTTTCTCAAGTTGGGTTTGCGGCGGAGCGGCGCTCCCTCCCCTCTAAAACGCTGTCACGTGCGCCGGAGCCCGCGGAAGCGTTAATGGGGTCTTTGGCCTCCCGTGGCCTGGCTGCAAAAGGATGCGGGGGCTCAAGAAGCCCCCGGCGTGGGGCAGCTGCCCGGGCTCGCACGCAGCCCCCGGCGCTGGGGGGAGACGGACGAACCTCCGAGCTAAGCCGGCGG